CCAATCTATAGAAGTCAAGAGCTTCCCTTTGTGAAGGTCTAGTGAAGTAGGCATGGAACAAGCAGCGTTTCTTTTAAGCAAGGAAACATAATTCTATAACCTGAGCAAAGCTGTAACTGTAAAACATTACTTTCAGCACCTATAAAAATAGACTGACTCAGTAATCAGAGGGCTAGGAAATAATTTGACAGGGACATTTCAAGACTTAGTTTGAGATAATTTTGTATCTGGGGCTCTTGCAAAAGTATGCAATTTTCTACAGAAGCTGTGCATAGAAAGAGATTTGGTATAAGTTACCACAAGGCACCAGAGCTGAACTGAAAGTAAGTTTATGTAGCAAAGGAAAAGGCTGTAATCAGTGTTTCCCAAGAAACTATTAATTTTAACTCTGATAAACTCTGAATATGAAAGGATGTAGAATAAGAGATACCCAAAGGGAGACCATACAGTCTCTAGTTCGGGAGTGCTTTAAGAATAAAATCAGAATATGCATATGGAAATGAATTTATATGCTACCATCATATGTATGTGTCCCTGAGGTCAATGAGATGGAAAGTAAAAGGTTACATAGAAATAAGGCACAGGGACATTCAAGTGAGGCTGGTTCCAGTGGCCACTGCTTTGTCAGTAAAGTAGGGAGGCAGTACGTAGTAGTAGAAAGTGCATGGGTTTTGAGGCCAGGATGACTTAAGTGGGATCTTGGGTGTCGCACTTACTAGTTTTATGATTCTGGGACGGTTATTTAACCTGGATATCATTTTCCTCACCTGTAAAATGTGGAAACATATGTCTCTCTCATAGACATGCACTGCACATTAGTACATAAAAAACACAGCAGCTTACATGGTATAATTAGTATTTAATGAATGTCAGTTCCTAACTTGTTGCAATTGCTTGTGTTCTTTTGGTAGCAGACCTGGAGTTTCCCTTAAGATATAACCACTGTTAGAGAGACCCTTTATCCATCTGCTACACAGATATGTCCACAGAGAAAAGGTCCCCGAATGGACTATGCTCAGAGAAAACGTAAGATTCTGGAGTAACCGAAGAGAATAGTGTAGGCAAAAGAGTTTATGGTCATCTCCTCAAAACTGTCCTTAAGAAAGATGATCATTCCCACCGGCTAGCACAGTACTCTCTGATGCATACTCTCTGTCAACAAACCTTCTCCTGACCTTTCCCAGAAGATGGTTTGTAAGAGACCTCTTTCGTAAGAAAATGATTCCATGGCCTAGCATAACGTCTAGAGCTTGTTAATTTTATCCTGGGTCCACTGCTTGTTGGACCTTTAAACCTAATGCAATCTTTCTTTTCTTCTTCCTCTCTAAAAACTTACTGACATACTTTTCTACTCTCCTTTGCCCACAGATCACAGAAAGTTCTCCCCTACTCTTTTTTGCCACACTATTCCATTCCCATGTGCCCCTAACATCCCCC